GAGGGAGAGAGAGGGAGAGAGAGGGAGAGAGAGGGAAAGAGAGGGAGAGAGAGGGAGAGAGAGGGAGAGAGAGAGGGAGAGGCAAAGTCGAAAGAAGTTGAAACAACTGACCAGTCATCCAAGCGAGATCCCTTTTTTCTAAGTAAACAGATGTGCGTACTCAAAGGGCCGCCTCTCAATCGCAGTTCCTCGTCCTGGAGGGGAGGGCTATCTTAGGGGCAGAACAAGGGCAAGGGATGTCTATCTCAAAGGATCTTCAGGATCCCAACTTGATGATGGATCAATATCTGTAGGAACATCTTTTGCTGGGATGAATCAGGATGAACTCAAGCATTTGCTAAATTCCTTTCCCGCTTCCACTGTGGACAAAACTGTTCCATCCCTGACAGCCCTGGTTTCTGTTTCTGCGTGAATCAAGGGACTGAAGAAGAATCCCTTCCACCTAAGAGCAAGTAATCCCCAGATAGCCTGGTTTGGTCTTGGGAGGGAGGTTGCTTTTAGGGGGATGGGATGGTTGATGAATATGGAAGATCGTTGAAAACCGAGAAAAGCAGATCAGCACATCGAAATACCTGCAAAGATTCAATCCGACACATCTTCATCATATTCACAATAATCTATATCAAGCAACCCTCAAGAACGGATGCAGAACAAGTAAAATCGGTAAAATGATGGTAACATCGATACGTTCACTCCTTTCTTTGTTGTTGGGGTGGGGGGGAACCATAAGTTCGTGATCTACCATGGTCACCCGCAGTCCGGACCTTTCATCCCTGCCCGATGTTTCTCTAGAGCTAGGGAGGCCAAGGCCTGGAGGGCAGTAATTCACCAAGGATGGGGGTACCCTCTGGTGTCATCACACGTGGCTGGAAAATCCTTCAGCTACATGGAGGTGTAGCTGGGAAAATCATCGAACTAGATGGTGGATTGAAAAAAATGCTAGGTTTGACTACCGGAGGACGTACAAGCTGGTGCCCCCAGACGTTGCTAAGTTGGTTTATAGCTAGGTTAAGTTATGGTTTATGGCAAATATCTTTAGTTAATGGGGTTTAAGGGTTTACAAACCAACTGATGATTGGAAATGGTTTCGAAAGCTACGAAACAATTTGGGTGTTAGAGATGGAATAGGGAGATCATGGGAATATGTCATGGGACAATTTGTCCAACAAAATGGGGTATGATAAACTATCGGATCAACCAAGTACAATGGGCATTCAACCAAACATTCCATTTAAATATATCATGGGACATGATGGGACAGACGCATTGGGATTTAATGATATATATATATATAATGAACAACATGATACGGGTTTGTCCAAGAGAATGGCTGAATTTACCGCGGAAAACGAGAAACGTTATAACTTATCAGTGGGTTTAGGGTATAGCTGCTAGCCTATTTGTGGACGAACCCATATCTCGAATCTATTCAAATCTTCCCTTTTTGAGCAACTTCTCCAGTCATTGGTTGAAATACATCATAGACTGTTCTGTGGCCGAACCGCTCTCACAGTGAATCTCATCGTGGCTTCCATCACATTCTAACCACGTTCACCAGCTCTCTTCGGGCTCGAGGAGGTTTGCCAGATACAAAGTATGCTGAACAAGAGGGCTCTTGCTCCTGAACTCACAACTGTTGATGTCCCAGCCAAAAAAAACTCAACACAAACTTCAAAAAACACAATAAAGACAATAAAGTTGTCTTAAAATCCGGCACCCCCTAAGTTTGCATCAAGATGACGGCGATATTTCGCCAGACTTCCCAGGATTTGGTGGGTCAATGCAGCAAAGCCCAAAAGGGCCTCTCTCAAGCTGGGCCCATCCACGGGAGGCGCCTGAGGGCATCATTGACTTCAAGTGGTTGGTGGTGCACCCATCCCAAAAAGATGCTCTTCACTTGGGATCATGATGGGACATATATGTATACATATACATATACATATATACGTATGTATTTCTATTATATATATATATACATATATTATTATCTGTGTGATTAATATTATTTTTACTATCAGTATTATTGTCATTATTATTACTATTGTCATTATGTTCATAGGCATTAATATGTATATATGTCATATGCAATATGAGCATACATACAGATACAGTGTACTGTATATCTGTATATTATATTTACAATATTTTGCAATATGTATATCTATGTATATCATGTGTGTGTGTGTGTTTTCTTGGTTCATTACAGTATTGAAATGCGGGCTAATATCTTACTATGTTCAAATCGAGAGTCACCAGATGTTCAAAAGTTGTTCTAGATTTTAGATCATGATCCCAGGTTAGGGGAAAGATGGAAAATGTTCGAAAACACCACTGAGGGACTCAAGTTCGAAGCTTAGCCGACCCTTTCAGGCACAGGAATCTGGTTGTGTTGTGCGAAGTCCATACATCCCGATTGTTGTAGGGACATCATTGCTCCATAGTTCCCTTTGGTCGGTCATATGGTTACGGATCAAACCTAAAGGTACCCCTCAAAATAGCTGGTAAAGGATGGTAAAGGATACTTTTCCCCAAAATTTTGGTGCATGACAGTTTTTTTTTGGGCTGGTTTAACCATGTTCGATGGTTAAACCAGCCCTTTCTTGAGATGTTTGATGGTTATTCGTTGTGTACCGTCCTATCACTTTCACAATTAGATTTATGGAGGATTTCCCATTCCTACAATGGCATCCTTTTCCCATTAGACCGCGCTGATGTAGTTCATAGGTGACACACTGAAAAAATACAAAATCATGTCAAAATCAATGTACCCACTGTTCATTAGAGTTCCAGCTAGCCACCTTCCAATGCAATGCATAACTTTGGCATTTAAAGGGATGACGACTCAACGAAGACAAATAAGAACCCCCGAACACAAAAAACATCGAGGAAAAAAACGAGCCCGGAGCAAGAGAGAATCGAATAAAGAAATACGAGCCGGAGAACACCGAAGAAAATTGGCGCAAAAAGAGTCCAAACATGTTGAATTCCTTGTGCTTTTTCTTGGTGCTCTTTTTGTTTATATCTATATATATTGTATATTAATATATAGTTTAAAAATAAGGGGAACCCAAAAAGCAATCAAAAAGCATGATAGTTTTTTTTTTTAAAAAAAACAGCGCTTTCAAATCAAACAGAACATAGAAAGTGGTGAAAGATTTGATTTTTGGGATTCCCGATCCACAGAGTCAACCGGGTTTAGGTTTAGGCCATGTTCGGCAGAAATGTCTCAAATATCATATGAGTATATGAGTGATAAACAGAACTTGTCTCCTGAAATGCCTCAGATCAACTCATCCTTTTTTCCGCCCAAAAGTGTAGATCCAAGGATCTCAAAATACAAAAGAGAGGATCCAAAGTGCTCCCAAATCAAAATAGATCCAAAAGTAAGAACGAAGTTTTCCAATTTCGATATCATGTCCAAACTGATGAACCACAGTTAACAGTTATCCAAATCCAAATATATAAAAGTTAAAAAAATGAACTGTTGGCAACAAAACCCTGTTTTGCTTGTGCTCCATTTTTTTAATTGCCGATTGTTGCAGGCATTGGGTGGCCCTCAGGTTCTACCCATGCAGTTCGCCTCCCGGTGCCAAGAATAGGGCCATACGGCTGCCGTGGTGTTCCTGCAGGGTGAACATACCCTGGGAAAAGAGAGCGGGGACATTTGACATACGGTACCCTCTGGTAATTTAACATAGCTATTGAAAATGGCTATTTATAGTTGATTTACCTATTAAACATGGTGATTTTCCATAGTTATGTTAGTTTACCAGAGGGTACCAGTAGTATGGCTGGAGCCGCCCATCAGGCGGCCCTCTTCCAGGTAGCCACATATGTCCCATCGGCATCCATCGTTATCCATCGTTCCTGGGGTAGCAGGATCCATTCTGCGGCGACCTTCACACCATGCTGGCTGGATATTTCTAGTACTGATCACTCTTGGCCTCTCAAAAATTGCTTTTAATCGTTTAATAATTTCATATACATTAACAATACAAACTCATAAATCTTATATAAGTGAAAATACACGTCCCAACCGTTAACCTTTATCTATTCCCTCTAGTTTTGCACTGCAAAACCTTGCTCACTGTTTTTCGAAATGACGGTAACTGACCGACCGACACAACATTTTCCCGCGCCTCAAGATGGGCGCTTGGGCGTAGTCCGCAAACAGCTGGGGGTCCACAGCAACCCGTAAGATGTACTCCACGGCTGCCTGCCAGCTGCAGCAAGGAGACATCCACCTGATGTGATGAGACCTACCAATTAAACTGGTTGGCTAAGAGGTACCTAATTGCGGGCTATCATAATCCGAAATTCATCAGGTAGTTTTTAGTAACCAATCAGCAGGGCTCGCCGGGTGATGGCGGCATCATTCCATCATCCACCCTTTGCAAATAGGATCAAATAGCTGGGGCAAGCTTTTTAGAGGTTCAACGCTGGGTGTGGGCCAAATCACAGACCCAGATCTGGACAAAGAAACTCTGCAGCCAGTCTTGCAGCAGCTCCATAGCTTTATAAGGGCACCTCATATCTAAGGAATTTTGGGTCAAGCATGGGGTACAAGTACCTGCTCATTTTTGTACTACATGGAGGATCGATTCTATCTGAAACATACGCACAAATACCCTAAGTTGGTGGACTCAGAATCTGAAAATGGGGCAACCCTTCAATCCAGCTATTTTTCCGGTAAGATTAAATAAAAACACACACACACACACATTTTTGGTGTATCCTCCATGTTTGGACAAACCAAACTACAATCAGACCCACCTTCCAATAGCTCCCAACTGTACCTCAAAGCTCTTGAAGCGATTCACGTAGATGAAGGCTTTGGGGTTGAACATCTTCATGACCTCAGTCCCCGCTTTGAAACTCAACACTTGATGGGGTAGTCCATGCTGCTTAAGTGGGATACCCAACTTGGTTTACTTCATTTCCCTTGTATCCATACTACTGTCTCCTAACGGATTCTGTGTTGGCTTCCTTTCCCCTTCTTCCCTTCCCTGAACGATCCTGTTGAACCATGTTGAACCCAGCAACATACTTACTCCGGGGCCCGGAACGTAGGGCGTGCCCCAGTAGATCGGAACAGCCTGGGTTCATGATGGCTCAAAATGGCTAAGAATGACTTTAGTGAACAATTGTGACTATAATCACTATAATCCAATGTAATTTTTCAACTTGGGGTTTATACTTGGGAATGACTTGGGAATAGCCCATTGATACCCTCTGGTAATTTAACATAACTATGGAAAATCACCATTTTTAATGGGAAAATCCACTATAAATGGTCATTTTCAATAGCTATGTTAAATTACCAGAGGGTAGATCCTTTGATTTGCATCAAAATTTCAACACAATTGGGATTCGGCTCCAGGCTCCACTGAGGAAGGCGTTCACAATCTTCTCAGTGACATACCTGGCCGCACAAGAAATGCCTGGGAAACCCAGGGATTTGAGGATGGAAAACCCATAAGAACCCGTTAGCCACCAACCTTTTTCACAAACTCGTCCTACTCCACCTTAATTCATGTTCATGTATTTGTTTCACAGAATGGGTCATAATCAGGATGCCAATTACCCACAGTGCGGTCACAGTGCACTGCTCATTTCTTGCATCTCCATGGCGACTACCCGGATGACTGCTGAAAAAGATCCATGTGGAAATCCCCACGTGTGTTAAACACTTAGTGTGTTTTCCTGCGGAATCCTGCGGATACCCATTCGTCCAAAAGCACATTTTTGTGCCATAAATACTTTCGGAGCCATCTCAATTACCAAATTATGGTCAACTACTGTGGATGGTTGCGAAATCCACCACCAAAAGGAGGTTGAAACCGTATAAAGATGCATAAAAACTGGGATGTT